GGTTGCCCAAGGAGGCTGTGGATGCCCCATCCCTGGAGGCATTCAAGGCCAGGCTGGATGTGGCTCTGGGCAGCCTGGTCTGCTGGTTGGTGACCCTGCACATAGCAGGGGGTTGAAACTGGATGAGCATTGTGGTCCTTTTCAACCCAGGCCATTCTATGAAATATCTCAGCATTAACCTTATGAAATATCTAGGGAACACTAGATAGTTGGTTAAAACAGATGTCCAGACAGACCACGTTATGAAGGTAAAGTCTGAAAACTGCATTTATGCTGCTAGATAAATAGTATCAAAATTATGCTCAGTTTTTAGCCTTGATATAAACACAATAATCTCAAAAGAGAATTGCATCCCATAAGTTTTGGCTGCAGAGTAACATTCAACTCACTTATGAGAATAAAGAAGCACACTGCCTCCTCTTCACTTAATACACAAATAACATCTTAAGTGTAAGGGAGTAAGTAAAAATAAAAATCTTCAAATAAATACAGGAAGGTTGTAGAAAGGGACCGGCTGTTGAATATAAGAAGAAATAACTTTGGGGGCTTTTTTTTTTTTCCAGCTGCCTAGTTAGTTTTACAGTGCTGTTTTATTGACAGGAATTTTGGATAAGATAATCAAAACATAAAATCCAGCTATCCTTTTAAGGAAAGCAACATATTCGAACCTCATATCCAAATAATAACCAAATACTAGGTTCTGTTTGATAGCTACTGTGGGCTCATGAAAGTGCCCAGTAGCACAAATGAACAGGTCTGCATTGGTGACATCCTTCCCAGTGTAAAGAAGCCAAAGAACATTTAGAGGAATCGCAAGCTTCTCTCTCTTATGTGCCTAACCCTGCAAAGGATGGAACAGGGACCTGGGAGAAAAAGTTCAGCGGATCTATCCTCAAACAAGCTGCCAAAGCCTACAGACAGAGGTTGGAGTGATACAGGCAGCCCTGGATACACGTTTAAATATCAACTTTGAGGCTTTTTCTTCTTCTTTTATAAACTAACATGCTTATAGCATTCCCAGTGGTTCTGAGGAATATAATTGCATACTATTACTTAAGAACTATGTGATTATTGCACCGCGGTCTTCTGCACAAGCTACCCTGTAATAAAAGTGATAAGAATAGCATTTATTGTTTTGGAAATGGTTTTTTGCAATGCATCCACACTGATGTGGTTTAAAACATCTGACTACACTCAAGATCCTCTACAGAAAGGATGTACTTTCTTCTAACCATATTGCACACCACGCAAACTCTCTCCTGCATTCACGATACTGCCAGATGATTCAGCAGAGTGGGTCGTGCTCAGCTCTTGAGAAAAACTTTCAGAAACAAGAAGGAAGAAAATTTGAAGCATGGAGAAGGCTCCAGGGAAATCTCATTGCGGCTTTCAAGTACTTGAAAGGAGCATGTAAACTGGGGGGGGGGGGAATGGCTGTTTATGAGAGTGGACAGTGATAGGACAAGCAGGAATGGTTTTAAACTGAGACAGGGGAGGTTTAGGTTAGATATTAGGAAGAAGTTTTTCACTCACAGGGTGGTGATGCACTGGAACAGGCTGCCCAAGGAGGTTGTGGATGCCCTGGAGGCATTCAAGGCCAGGCTGGATGTGGCTCTGGGCAGCCTGGTCTGCTGGTTGGCAACCCTGCACAGAGCAGGGGGTTCAAACTGGATGAGCATTGTGGTCCTTTTCAACCCAGGCCATTCTGTGATTAGAAAGCCACACGCACAATCACAGCAAGATGTATTCAATGCAAAGGAAAGTTACAGAAGAAAAAGACATTCCAAAAAACTGCATTAACAGAAACTGACAAGTGACAAGCCTCTGCAGTTGCTGCAGAATGTAACTACTGTAAGAACTAGAAAAGTCAAGTGAATCGCTCCCAGCTATTAAAGCAAACAGCATAAATTCCTTTTGCAAATCTACCAGTTGCTACATAAAGTCTGACTCCTAACCTCAAGAAAACAAAAACAACATTAACAGAGAATTTCAAGTTTAAGACCTCAATCTTCCTCAGACTTTTTTTTAAAGCACTAAAAACATTTGCAGAAGACAAGCTTGATAACATTTTATTAAAGTCTGGAGACCATCATTTTCTCAACCCATGAACTCTCTGAGTACCTAAGGCTAAGACACTGTCAAGATGCAGACAGGCTTTCATTCTTTTCAAAATCCCCTTCTCCTCAGAGAACTCAATCCCCTATGCTTGTCTTCTCTCAATCTTGGATTGGCTTCATTTTTCTGTGAGATTGGCCCTCTTTAGCAATCAGAATGACTATTCCCACCCCAAACATGACTTCAGAGACTTAACAGTACATCAAATCCAAAAGTAAAAGTCACTCACTGTAGGGACATATCGCAAGTAGTACAAGAAAGCACCGTTTTTGTATCATGCACATTTATGGAGAGGAAGTGAGAGAGAAAATTCCCATCAAGAGTTTGTCCTGAGAGTTACAGAAAGCTGGACTTAAGCCAAGCGTCTCTTCTGTTTATATATTCTACTTATGTAATGTAACAAGCGAAAAGGAACACAGATTTTTTCAGAAGGTTTCAACACAGGACTGAACTGACAAGGCAAACAATTCCCACTAATCAGTAACAACATGCTGTTACAAACAGAAACATAAAGTAACCATAGATTAGCACGTGGCTTTCCAAAACGGGAACAAGGAATGAAGGACAGCTGTTACAGAACTGAGCCATGGGCCACTTCACACAGCCACTTACACAAAGCAAAAAGAAAAGGAAACACCCATTTGACATTCAGTTACGTATTCAGTATTGTTTGTGTAAATTCTGATGAAAGCACATTAATGCTTGAAGGCAAAAACTACTTTTCTGAGAATAAAACTCTATCCTCAACAGAAAACAGAATACAGAAGTATGTAACAGACACGTGCTACCTACACATACAACACACAGCTCATACTTGCAAAGAACATACCTGTGCAATATGCAAACATGCATTCATTACCAATCAAAACTTTTTTTTCAGTAAGTACTTCGTTTTACCAACAACTTGGCTTGAGGTAGCGCTGACCCAAACAAGCTTACCTTTCTGAATTTCCAAACTACTTATCTTACATCACAGCATGCCTTCACTAGACCACAGCTTAAAAAATAACAGAGATAAAACATCTTGCTTTGGGAGACAAGCTGATGGTCATTTTTTTCTGCCTGTATGCAGTTCTATTACCGTGCATCTTACCGCTTTAACTACTGCATTTGTCATCGAGTTACTTGTCAGCATGGCAATTAATGCTACCAATTAATAAGTTTCATTGATAAATGAAATGAAGTTTCCCTCATGTTTCTCTTTTCTCTATAGGAGTGCCCACACAAACTGTGAAATCCATTCAGCAACAAGTGACAGAGCTGAAGAAGAACTAAATGTGAAGTACTGGAGACACTACTCTGCTCCCTACAGCTGAGATAAACACCAGCAGGCAGTAAGCAGCTGTTTCCACAGAGAGAAACACACAGATATCCTCATGTGCAGGGGTGAGAGCTGAGGTTCATGTTATCACATGCTTGCATGCAGGTATAGCACCTGCTATTCTGTGGGACAGGAACAAGTGATTACTTGTCTGCTCCTTTACTGTTACAACACAACTATCTTCAGCAGGCAAATGGGGACACAAAAGGGCACGTGGAGGAGGTACAGTAAATATCTTCAGAGCATACCAACATTCTTCTTGTGTGGGTTTGTACAGTTCTACCAAGTGACGCTATGCAAAGAACGAATTAGGTTCCAGCCCCTTGCACAAACAGGGGCAGAAAACCAGATTATGGTCCTCTGTTGGGAACTGCTCCTAGAGATGTGAAACAAGTGGGCATTTTCCACATTGGAAGGAGGCACAAGGACAAGGTGAACACAGACAGCAAACGCTTCCCCTCCTTACACCTTTCTGCAAGGCTGTTAGGCCTATCTCTTCTGGGAATGTATGTAATGAAGGTGTCCCCCACTGTAAAATGAGTACACGTAAAGATGATTTTTGCCTTGAAAGACAGCATTACATACAGAGGTGGAAATACTGCTATCTGACTTTGTATAATCCTACTTACATGGTCGGATAGTAATAGGATAAGAAGGGATGGCTTGAAACGAAGAGGGGAAAATTTAGGTGAGATGTTAGGTGGAAATTCTGTACTCAGAATGGTGAGACACCGGAACATGCTGCTCAGTGAAGCTGTGAGTGTCCCATCCCTAGAGATGCTCAGGGCCAGGTTGGCTGTGAATCCAGGCAGCCTGATCTCATAGATGACAACCCTGCCACAGCAAGTGGTTAGTGTTAGATGACCTTTAGGGTCTTTTCCAACCCAAGCCATTCTATGACTTTAACCATACAAGACTGGCTATCAACCCTGCTGCCTGACAAGAACCATTTGTGGAAGGCAGCTCCCTGAAGAGCAAAAGTGCTCCTATTGCCACCTCCACGTGTAGCGAGACATATTAAGAAGCATTTGAGTGCATCTTCGCGTGGTTACACACAGACCTGTGCCCCTCCACGACAGGTGAGACACGGTGAGAAAGTATCCAACCAAACACAAACGTGTTCATCGCACAGCCACATCCAAAGGCGGGCTCTGGGGAGGCACGGAGACCTGCAGTCCTCAAGGTTAGTGCAGAAACCAGGCGTGAGCCTGAACCTCCCCCCCCCCTCCCCACACACACATTCTCACAGCTCTGCCTCGCTCGATGCAAAAGCAGCCTACAAGTACATGAGTGTGCGTGTGGGGAGGTGGGGGGTGGCTGCAGCCATCTGGGAGCCGACACCTCCCTCAGGCAGCGCGCTGAGCTGGGGGCGAAGATAAGGAATAAGCTCCACGCACAGCGATAAGGTCCACGCAGAGCTGTTCGCCCCAGAGGTCGAGGTGGGAATGGAAGCAATGCGCCCGAGGGGGCGAGGGCGGGGAGAGAGGGATCCCCCGGAGATTTAATCTCCTTTCCTCGCCTCCTAAAGGTGGGACCCCGGCCGCCCCGTCCCCTCGGGTCTCACCTGCCCGCACCGTGTCGGAGAGGTCGTGAGTGAGGGCGGAGGCGCTGCGCGGGAACTCCTTCAGTTTCCTGCCGCTCAGGTTGAGCCCCCCGGAGTGAGCCGCTTCCTCCAATGCCCGCTCCAGACCGCGGGTCAGAGGCTGCAGACCCAACGCACCGCCGCCGCCACAGCCGCCGCCGCCCACCCCGCCCGCTGCCACCGCCAGGGCAGCGGCGGGGAAGGGCTGCGGCTCGCTTCCCAGCGTCGCCATCTTTCCCCTCGCCGAGGGGAACGCCAGGGGCCGCCGGAGCTGCCTCTCTCTCCCTGTTTCCTCCTCCTCCTCCTCCCGCTCGCTCCCCGTGGTAGTGAGGGGGAAGGGGGGGGGAGCGGCGGCGAGAGCAGAAGGCGGAGGCGAACGGGGCGGGCGAGGCGCACGCACTACGCATGCTCCGCCTCGCCCCCTCCGCTTTCCCTTTCCCCAAAGGCGACGCGCAGGGCGGGGCACTGTGGCGCCACCTGCCGGCGGTGCGCGGAGCAGTCCGTAGTGAAAGCGCTGTGCAGACGCCGTGAGTGTGCTGAGGCGGGGAGCCTCATTTGAAAATTAAAAGCTGTGGAGGCTCCTGCTGCTGCACCTGGTAGGCCCTGGGGAGCTCCTGCCCTGAAGAAGGACTTTCTGAGGTTCGCTCCAGCCACAGGCACAGCCTTGTACGTGTGCATGGCTCCTGGGTTCTGGTATGTCACCACTGTGGGTGACAGATCTGCTGATCTCTTCAGCTCAGCTTTCAGTGGAATGACTTTTCTGAGATTGTTTTTTTGTTGGGTTTTTTTTTTTTCAGCTTTGCAAGAGTGGGAGAGCAGTGAGTCCTCGTGCTTTCACAGCACTTGGAGATTTCAGTGCGAAGAGGGAGCCTTGGACACCATCATGCATGACTTGTGCTTTGCAGCTGCTACGCTTCCCTCAGTTCCCTGCACTGTGATGAAGGATCAGTGTTAAACCAAAGCCTCCTGGCTCCAGGAAGTTCAACAGCAAGAGCTATGGGACAAAAGGAGGCAGGACTTCCACAAGAGAACTCCTCTGGAAAACAGAGATCACCACAAGCTTGACAACAACATGAAACAGCCCTGGTTAAATGAGGAAGAATGGGTGCTGGGGGTGGACCTGTTCAAATAGCAGCATTAAAATACCCATCAAAAATTGTGCCTTATAACCACTTAGCTCTGAGCGTCAGCATTTTTCTTTTATATTGGGTGTACGTTACAGAAGCACTTCAGGCTTTTTCAAATAGGGTAGTCTCACAGTAAGGAAAGAGCTGTAAGGTTAGATGGGTAGGATTATTTTACTGTGAATACTTTTACACTGCACATATATTAGCAGCCCCTCACTAAATTCAAGTCCAAACTGCCCTCACTGCAATTCTTTGGGTGTGATAAAGAGATTTTGGGTTACAGAATAACAAATGCAGTCTCCTGCTAGTTCAAGGAAGTTTGGGGTGCACCAGAGATCAGTTCTTAACACTGTTACTTACAACAGCCTCTAGCTGAAGAAGAGACCTTCCCCAAGGAGCACAACTGTCACCTCATCCACAGTTGTGTCCGGATATCACATTGCTTTTGACAAAGCTTGGTGGTGGCTTATTAAGATAACATTTCCCACAGATTTCCATTAGTCACAGCATATTTTGGCTTTGTTCCAGCTTTGCGTTGCTACTGGAAGAAATAAGGAAGCAGATGAATAGCTACATCTTCTCAGTGGTTTGAAGAGAAGCGTTGAAGAACAGTAGATTGTGCTGAATAAGCTGTGAATAAAAGCAACTGCCAGGCTTCCTCTATAATGGAATTTTTTTTTTTTTTAATTTAAATTTAATAAACTAGGTAGTGAATTCTTTTACAGTTAGAGATGCAGATCATAGAATCATAGAATCACCAAGGTCAGAAACAACCTCCAAGACCATCCAGTCCAACCGTCCACCTATCACCAACATTTCCCACTAAACCACATCCTGTAGTACAACATCTAAATGTTTCTTAAATACAAATGACCTTGTACAGGAGACTTCCTGTATATTAAATCCCCCAACACACAGAACTTGCTTTTAAAATTAGTAATATGAAGCTATGCAGTCAGCTACATTTCCTGGAGGTGTTCAGTGCCAGGCTGGATGGGGTCCTGGACAACCTGGTCTAGTGAGTGGTTGGAACTGGATGGTCTTTAAGGTCTCTTCCACCCAAGCCATAGTATGATTCTATAATTATCAATGTAATGGTGGAAAATAATATAGCACTGAAACTTCTATATCTGTTTCTGACTGTTGTGTCAGATCTCAGTCCATTCCTGCAGATGAAAAGCATCAGAAATAGCAAAAAAAAGGTCAGTCACAGCAGCACTGATTTCTTGTCCCCATACAGATGTCCATGTAAACTCTGTGTATTGCCTTGGGTTGGACTGCAACGTCAGCGCAGTCTGACATGGCAACAAAGCTGAACTGGTGGTAACTGCCATTGTAGGCAGCCCTTACATCCCTCACCCCCGCTGTGTGATCCTATATGACAATGTTTGTGTTTGTCTAACCCTTCAGTGAGCAAACCTGGAGATTGAGAGCAGCTTAAAAATTCAGTCTAGAAGAACAAGAAAGCAATGAGTGCCCTTCAACGAACATTGCAATTGTAGCAGAGGACAGAAAGATTCAGAAGAAAGACTACACGGGTGTAGCAGAGGAAGCTGACTTCAGAGGTGACTGTTCTTCTAACTGGGTCACACATGATGGCTGTGATAGGAAAAATCCAACTGGAGATGAGCAGAAAGTACTGTAGCTGAGGAAGGCCATGTGCCATGAATCTTTGAATTTTTTCTGCCTAGACTCCTAAATTGGCAGAAAGAAACAAAGGTCCATGTGGCTAAAGAAGATCAGAGATGCCTCACAAAGTAATGTGTGAACTCAGTAACTTCAGCATGCACATGTCCCACTCACAGTCAATGTTATTTAGAGGTGTTAACATGGGGTAGCTCACACACAGTTGGGTTACAAGGCTTTCTTCATGTGAATATCCCAGGCAGACAATTTGCCTGGAGCACAAGCAGCAGCAGCACACAAACATGAGGCCAAGCAGAGAACGGGCATCACTCAAAACATGAGGCCACATCAGTTTGGAGAGACACAGAAGTCATAGCTAAGAAAACCCCATTTATACATCCTTGACAGCATAACTGAAATGGCACTGGGACTAAGAAAATGATCATTTGAATCCCGAAAGAAAGAGAATGCAGGCTGACACTTCGAGTGGCACAGGTAAAAATGTGCCTTTCAACTGAAGCACAAGTACTGATCCTGCTTACAGTACGCCTAAGGCAATTGCTTCACAGCAGACACACCAGCAAAATGAATAGCTAACCCAGAGCACACCTTGCATGGCAGTTTCCTTGCAACAAAGCTGCTAAAGAGAGTTGGAAGGGAGAGGAAACTGTGCCAGGAGACAGCTCAGACAAATCCATCTCTACAGCACATGCCTCACAGAACATTCAGAGTAAAAAAAAAAAGGAGGGGAGGGAAGGAAAGAGTGCAATGAATTGACAGACATAAGAGATAAAGGCAATGGTATTGATGCTGCTATACATTTATGGGTACAACAGGGAAGAAAGGTGGGAGAAATCACAAAATCACCAAAAGCTCTGCTCTCAGCTATGAGGTCATGCAAACAGACCTAAGGGTAAAATAAAACCAAGATGAAACTGTCTTAATATCCCTGAAATATCTGATTTGAATAAACATTTAAAGGCAACACAATAACATGCCCACACCTGAAGTATTAATTTAGTTCAAAGACTATTAGCGGCTGTAAACTAGCAGAGTTTCTTCCAAGTTTCCCAGATGACTTTGAAACATGCGGTGTGATAGAGAGGTAATGCGTCCACAGTTACGTTGAATACACTGCAGAAACATAACTTCAGCAGAGATTCAGTATAGAGTGATTTGGATGCAGGGGATTTTATTGATGCACAGGATTGTAACCCGGGTGGGAGGCTTCCAAACAGGAAGAGCCATCACACTGTTGCACCACAATCAAAAGACACACCTAAGATGGGAAAGGAACACCTTGCAGGAGATTGCCTTCACAAAAAAATTTGAAACAGTGTCTGGTAGGAGTGGAAGCCGTCCAAGTAAGAAATAACCTGTCTTCTAATAAAAATAGAGGAGATAATTAGTTATTGTCATTTGACAATGAGACAGCATTCACAGGAAGGCTCTGTTGGCAGTTTCACAATGCCTTCAGTGTGTGTTGTTGAAACACGCAGTTTATATATCTGTTGCAAGAAAACGATGCAAACCTGATTTCCTACCCAGAACAGCTTGTTAGCACAGATACATGGAATTAAAACAGAAATACAGACTTCAGTCTTCTGCAAAATCTAGAAAATGCAAGGAGACAGAAGATGCCAGCTGAACTCTAGTTTCCAGGTAGAATCTAGGAAGTGTCAGGGGCACATAAGGCAGGGATTCTGTAAGATCCATGTTCACAGCTGTCGGCAAGACAGAAGGTAAAGTGCTTTGTGAGACCCTCATAAGAGCAGAAACATGGAAATCAAAGATTGCTAGGTAGGAATTGTGATATACATGGGGGAAGCAAAGGCCTAAAAGACAAAAGCAGCAATACAAATGAAAAACTGACTACTTGAACATCAGCTCAAGTCATATAATCGTATAATCATTAAGTTTGGAAAAGATCTCTAAGAGCGTCCAGTCCAACCATCCACCTGCCACCAGCACTGCCTACCAAACCACATCCCTAAATACTACATCTACCCTTTCCTTAAACACCTCCACATGCGGTGAATCCACCACTCCCTGGGCATCCTGTTCCAGTGCCTCACCACTCTTTCTGGGAAGGAACTTTTCCTAATTCCTCCCCTGGTGCATCCTGAGGCCATTCCCTCTTGTCCTATCACTGTCACCTGAGAGAAGAGGCCGACCCCCACCTCATCACAACCTTCTTTCAGAGTGTTATAGAGAGCAATGAGGTCTCCTCAAGCGTCCTTTTCTCCAGACTAAACAATCCCAGTTCCCTCAGATGCTCCCCATAAGACTTGTGCTCCAGATCCTTTACAACTTCCTTGCTATTCCCTGGACACAGCCTCAAAGCTTTTTCCCTGCAAACCACAAAAACCACCTCACTGGTATAAACAAGTTCTTCAGACACCTGGGAGCTCAGTAAGAGCCATGCACTAGTACCAGCCCAATGGTCGCAAACCACTCACCTGACTTGGGTCAGGTAACT